CACCCTATAAATCACAGTGATTCACACACTTTACTTACGGTGCCTACTGTTCGCTTGACTTAATTATCTCTATCTTCAATCCCGCTGGTTTTTCTCACCAGGCTTATATACTAAGAAAGAGGGCGTCTAGCAAACACTCGGACATTCGGAGGGTTCCTCGATAATTCAAGAAACTCCAGCGCGCATGCTTCTAGCATAACGCGACTTCCGCTGTCGTAACTGTATCATAGTTTGTTTCTTTACCATAGCTATATACAGGTTACATGTCAGACTAGTTATGTAAATCAGTGTGTCTCACCCTTTTTGACACTTGGGTCCAGCTTGATGCCTCCCTAAACTATCACAGACTGCTGAAATCGAAATACCAAAAAAAAAACCTGATATTTTGCCTGTTTTTGTTTGTTTTCATGAAATCCCATAGGTCGATAAGGTTGTTGAGAAACACTGATTTAGATCATTTATTTAGAAATGAATTTGGCAGAGTGCTGTAATATTCCGTCTTGATTTCCATCAGCCCTTTTTTTTTTCTGTTCATGCTACTGTTTTGCTTATATGATTTTATGTATTGGAATATGCTTAGATTCTGTTTATCAGTACTTGCCTGTTTCCTTATATGTTTATTGATAATTTATGTTTTACCTATTTAGGTACAGCATTTACTTGAAAAAGTGATATGATGAAGTGTTTTTACAGTTTGTATTTATATTACCAGAGGTGTATATCCAAAAGCAGTAGAAGTTTGATTACAAGTTGTGAATTAACTTTTTTGTTAGGCCCCTCCCCAGTTAAGAATTTAAACAGTGTTCACCACAATAAAACTGTTGTTATCTGATTAGACTGGGTTATTGTATGACTTACAAGGTAATTAACAATTTTTAATTTAAAAAGGGTAAATAGGGAAGAATAAAGAAAAGTACCAAAGCAAAATGAATCAAAATACAAAGATTATATTTTCAAGCCTACAACTAGAGACTCAAAAGAGAGTAAACAAACTAGGCTGGAAATATGCTGTCTACATTATTTTCTCAAGCTACAGATATCTATTTTGACTCCATGCCTACAGTACTTATCCATTTTAGTGGAGTCAAAGTAGGGATTTCTAGCTTGAGAAAATAATGTAGACAATATCTTTCCAGCCTAGTTTGTTTACTCTCTTTAGAGTCTCTAGTTATAGGCTTGAAAATATAATCTTTGTATTTTGATTCATCTTGCTTCTGTACTTTTTGACGATCCCTATTCTTCTTTTTGAATTAACAATTGTTAATTATCTTGTAAACCACAATATATATGTATCGTGGTTCATGATTTTCTATTGAGTTTTAAACTTTGAAAATTAAAGCTATATTAATTAAAACTTTTATATCACGAACTATATTGACGTTAATTTAACTATTTTTTTACTATAAGGTCAATATTTTAAATCCAAAATACTATATTATTATAGTAAAGTTTATTTTCTTTCATTAAAAAATTTAGTTACAATGTTGCACAGCTAACTTTTAAAAAATGGACGGGTATCACACCGTCATCGTTAAAATAAATCATTTCATTTTGTGGTGTGTAAAAGTTAAGTGTTGTTAACACGATAGTACTATATTATCATAAGACTATCTAGTTTTATAATTTATTCGTTCCGTAATGGTTTTCAAACTTTGAATGATAAAGTTATGTTTATAAAAAATGTTATTTTACAAAATGAAGTGACTTTATTCTATTTTTTAGATCGTTTGACTATAAGTTAAATTGAGGTTACTTTACACTTGTTTAAGAATGCCCAAAATACAATGTTTTGACTTTGGCTAAGTACGCGTTATCCGAATAAACAATTCTGATTATTCGTTTCCCTTGGTTGGTTACAAGGTATTTGGGTAACTGCGTTGTTATAACACGTAAGGCTCCAACAGTCGTAAAATCGCTTTAGAACATATAACACAATACTGAATTTTCTGGAATAAAACAGCTGGAAAAGTGTGCAATGTACCGTTCCAACAAGTGTTTGATAATTGAATAAATCTTTCATCTTTTCTAAGCGTTCAACAGTGCACGAGCTTAACTACTATCTTACATAATATAGCGCATGTGCATGGTGTTATGCGTCAGGTGCTGTAGGTGACGCATTAGTGTTTGCATCATAGTTTATCTGAAATACTATTAAATCGGAAATTAACTATGTTGATATAATATGTAAAAAAAATTAAGCATTATGGTTGAAAATGCAGATTTTTCGAAAGCATGTGTTTAAAAATACCCAATTTATAAAAGTTACCGCGACCTCTGATATTATATTTAGCCTGCATTTGTAGTTTACCACATTGAACTTGAAGGTATATTTTTATTAAATTTGCGTACTTATGCTTGCGTAATATATATTCCTAGTGCAACATTGATGTTTTAGCCTTATGTAGCGGCGATGACACATTAATTTTAAAGTTGTATTTAAAATAACTAAATACAAAAAAGATTAACTGTGTGGCGGGTAAAGTATAACGGTAAAACTTGTCCCTGACACAAACCTTGTCACGAGAGTTGGTCGATATGAATTGGTCACCACTGCTTGCTTGAGACTTATCCACCACTATTCTAAGATCATTTTTCTTCAGTTACGCTAGTGAGTGGGTTTCCATGTATATTAAATTTAAATGTGTGTTACAAATTATGGTCACTCAAATGCGTTAACGTACACTTAACATAATTAAAGGTCATTTGCCAAATATTTTCTCACAGACCAATATTAATAATTGATACAAATCATTCTTTTGTACCTCACCAACCTCAATACCACTAGAAATACCCATAAATATGACCCTATCAATATCATTAATGTTACTAAGACAAAAAAATTGATTTATGGATAATTCGACTTAACAGTAGAACAATAGTATTTGTACCTATATGCATTTTTATTGCACTTTTAATGTTTATTATGTTAAGAAAGAAAAAGTTTTTATTTCACCAGTCCAACCAATAGGTACTCCAGCTAATAAAAACTATTTTATGTGAGATCACAAGATGGTGTTTAATACTGATAAGTATTGGTACACAAAAAGTATAGAAAAATACCAGTTCCCCGAAAAGAAAGACACTGTTTTCAAGAATTCTGTCAATATGAAATTAGATGGGAGGTTCCCCCCTCTCATGACCTTCCTCATATCATTCTGTATTACTGTGTCAAGTGTGGTCATGATTGATGATGAAATGTGGAAACATATATGTATATTGACATTTATTTATATAAATGGTTTCTGTTACATGCATTTTAGGTGATTCTTTTTTAACCAAAATAATGTAAGGGGAAAAATACTTGTTTGAATTTTTTGCTTGTTGAATTTCATGCATGGACTTAAACGATTATGAGTATTTTCTGACTTAAGTGATCTATAAAGATATAGTTTAAGTGTATTGTAAAATTAAATATATTTATAATTGTTTTCTAATTGCAGGTTCCTGTTAAAGGTTACATTGTGAAATTCTGATGTTCCAAGTAATGTACATTATGCATCCATCAATGTTATAAAGAGCTGAATATAATAGATTATATTTATTATGATGCATTTCCTTCATTTTTCTTCTAAGCTTCCATTCTTAGCTCCAAAAGGAAGTTTTAGAAGAGTGCACAGAAATTCCTTTATAAGACATTTTCACAACTCGGGTCCCAATATATCTGCACCAAAGTTTCACTGGTGTGCACTAAGGAAACCAGTTGCTTTAAATCAGAGTAATAATTGTCTGAAAATTGGAACATTAATATGTAGGTTTTTGACCCAAAAGTCTATACCAAGTGTCCCAATAAAATTCATTCCACCATCAGAACTAAAAAGACTTCTTCAGTTAGCCAAACCAGAAAAATGGAGGTTAACAGGTATGGAAAAAAAGAAAATAAAACATAATTATAGCCAATGTTTATTTTTAGTCTCAAGATTTAAGTTATTTTGATGGTGAGCATTTAAAAATAAAGTGAAAATTACTGTAAAAGAATATAAAAGGTTTTGTATTTTAAAGGTCAATTCATCAAGCAAGTTGTTATTCATATTACATAAGTTTAAATGATCTACATTAAAAGTATTTGAGGTTCATTACTCATTAGTAATATTGCATTGGAATTTGCATATAAAATTGATTTAGCACATTACATTTAAAACTATTTTCTACTTGAATTTTCACTCTGTCCCAAACATTAGTGTGCCATGTTTAGTTTTTAGTGGGAAATTTCTGTTTTAGGTGTTTTTTTTCACTGTAACATATTATGGAAAATATCATAGTTTCTTTTGGTATATTTTAACAACCTGTACTCTGTTATTTAGATAGTTATTTTTCTTGTGAAATTTGTATGCAACTACCATTATCCATTTTTGACTTAAAACATTATAACTGGCATTTGTCTAGTTTTTCTGTATGTTTATATCAGTATTGGTATGCTTGTCAAAAGGATTTACAAGTATAAAATAAGCCTGTACACAGCTGGTTAGGTACTGTACAATTAGTGCAAATGCATGTAGTCTGACATAGCTTATTTTTTATTGATACTTTGTATAGGTGGTGCACATATGTTTACATTCAAGTAACACTTAGTGGCCTCTTTGAAAAGTAACCTGTTGTTTTTAAATTATAACTTTTTTGTACTCTTTATTCTAAATGTCTAAAATTAGGTTGATGTCATTGTAAATAAAATTAAATGCAAATTGTCATAAATAGTTTAATTCATGTGGACTTTAAAGTACATGTGCAACAGCTTGCACTTTTTGAAATAATGTTTATAGCAATATGTTTATGTTAATGACTTTTCAGAAAATTTATGAGTTTTTTTTTTGTTCACCCTGGCTTCTTTCTTTGTCTTTCAGGGGCTGTAATTTTACTCATTGTTTCTAGTGCTGTCACCATGGCTTTTCCTTTTTGCTTGGGGAAGATAATTGACATTATATACACCAGTTCACCAAGTGAAATGAAAGAAAAGCTTACTTTAATTTGCCAAATACTTGCTGTGGTTTTTTTTGTTGGTGGAGCAGCAAATTTTGGTCGAGTCTATTTGATGAATTATTCAGGTATTATCTTAATACAACGATATAAATAATTATGCTGTATAATAGAAATATCAAACAGAAAAATGGAGGTGAAATAGTATTATGTGCACTAACGTAGAGACCTATAATAGTTATTAATCATCCTCATTTACATTAGTTATATTATGTATGATAGAACTACACAACAGTGTGTATTCTTTCTCAAAGATTAGCAATGACTCCTTATGTGTTCACCTAAACCATTTTTTATTTTATCACTTGGCTATGTACCTAGATAAAAGACAACCATATTTATATGGATAACTGGCTGGTACTAGCTGATTTGAATTTCTGAGTAGATAACTGCCATACTCTGGTGCTTACAACTAAGATTTGGTGTAGTATTATGGTTGAAAAGTCTCACCTCTGACTTAACAAGTTTCTTATCTGTTTGGGTATTTCTTAAACATCTCCCTCATGACTTTTGTGAGTTCTCTGTGAGAGGAGTAATTTTTTTTTTTTTTACCAAGTCCTTAGTCTGTCAACATAAACCTCTTTTTCCTTCAATCTTCATAGTATTCAGTCATAGTGAAAGATTATAAATGTTGAGACAGGGTATTCCTTTCTGTATACAACCTTGCTACTACTTTTCTCTCCCCACCCCTTTTTTTTCACAGTTTCATCCTGTTCTATATCTTGGCTACTAGACTTCTGTTATATAGACTGTTTTCTTATGGATTATCATATCATATTGGATCTTGTCTCCTTTTTACTTCAAGATTTGTCACATCTTCTGTTTCTTTCATTTGATTTTAATATCACTATATTTCTCGGGTTCCATTATTTTACCTTTTTCTTTTGTTTTCAATCTTTGACTTTTTACCATCTCAGAGAATCTATTATGACCTTTTTCTTTTACTCACCTATGTTAATCCTCAATCAGACAGTTGTTAATACATTCTGTAAAATGTGTAATCCTGGTTACTTGTTCCTTCCTTCTGGGACTTGGGAAGCTATGAAAGGTGATGAAATGTTTTCTCCTCTCCATTTCTGTAGATCATTTTCACTTGGGTGTGTGAACAAGTTTCTTTATCCTGTCTATTAGCTTCATTGCTATTTGAGTGTGCTGAGCCCTTCTGTTTTGTGTGTTACAGGTTGTTTTCCCCTCTCCCCTTCATTTAAACAATGAACTGTATGTGATATTCTTAAATGACATAAGCTTTCTTTCTTGCACTTTATTTTCAATAGTGATCTGAAACATGAAGTCTGGATAACTACATATCAGACATATCATTTCATTGTCTCCTACTGTTGCTTCTAGGTATCTATTAAAAGATGTAATCTGGAAAGATATATAGATTTTAAACCAACTACTAGAAGCTACTTTTTTTTTTCCTTATTCTACTTACAGGTTCAAAATACCTCTTGTTTTTCTCGAGGTTTGGAATTCAAGGGAAATGATAAATGACTTTTGAAGTTAAATTTTCTCATATCATTAATCAATATCAATGGGTTGGTTTCCCAAATTGGCCTAACACTTTCTTTGATGAATCTTCCCTGTTGAATTGTGATTTGCCTTGTTGGGAAAGTATCTTGAGCAGGATCTACACTCAACTACAATCACCTCAAAGCTTTAGTATGGAGGACTCTATTATATGTCCACTTGGTGTGTATAGGGCTGTCTTTTAGTAATTAACTTAGTAAAAGTCATTGCTCTACTTCCCTAGGATATTAGAAGACTACATGGCACTTTGTATTCTGGGTTGAAATTGTCTTGTCATTTTGCTCCATTTTTTTTGCCTCTTCTCCTTTTTTCATGTAGTTTCGGAAAGTTTTCTGACCTATTTTGTTTTTTAAGCAACCTTACAGGTTTGTTGTGATGTGGCTGGGCTTATTCCACATGATTCTCTACTTCTCCTTAGACTACAAAGTAATTGAGGGTTGAAAGCTTCCGACATAAATCCATTGCAATATGTTTGCACAAATAAATACCTCTTTTAATTTTTTTTGGCTTAAACCTGGCAGATTTCTCTTTACATCATGTTTATTTTCTCTGATCGTTATAGTTGCTGATTTCTGCTCATTTTTTCCATTAAATGTGTGGATTCTCATTAATTGCATTTCAGAGATACAGTAGCACATTTGAAACGTACTTTTGTGTTGTCAATTATATAATTCAAATACATGTTTATTACTTGAAGGACACTTTCTGTGCCATGCTCCATACATCCAATAGTCTGTGTAAGAATGGCTTTCAAAGCAACATCGTGTGGGTAGATGCCCTATTGAGCCTGTGCATTCACATAGGTATTTCCTATTAATTTAGTAGGATTTCATAACGCTTGTTAAAAGTTCAAGAACAGTATGAAGTACATCATTTTATGATGTACTGGAAATATGGAAAGAACAAAAACTCATGGCAAAGGTTGTCAAGACATTATTTCTTACTCTTCCAATGTAATGATGGATATAAATGTGATTTTTGTTTTGCTAAGTTTACCTATAGGAAAATGTGTTTTATTTATTTTTAACTAGTGCCTAGTTTAAATAAAATAAATTTTTGTAAAAATTGCATAAAACTATTTTTATTTTGTTTTTTAGGACAAAGAGTTATTAATAGACTGAGAAGAATACTTTATGATTCAGTACTTAAACAGGAAGTTGCATTCTTTGACAGAACCAAGACAGGCGAAATCATTAACCGTCTTTCAGCAGATACATCATTAGTAGGTTGGTCAATAACAATGAATATCTCTGATGGACTTAGGTCATCTGTCTCTGTTGTAGCTGGAATATCAATGATGGTAAACAATTTTTTTAACTTATTGTACCTTTTATGTACTTTTATGTTTTATTTGAAAGCTTCTAACTTTTAAGCCTGAAACAGATACTTGTTCTTTTAACAAGGTTAAGAAGTGCAAAACATTACTATTAATAAATATTCCTGTTCTTAAGAAAACTCTTGCTGAAATACCTTTTCACTTATAAGTATCAGTTGGATAATGGTGTGATGTAGATACAGATAATTGTACAAGATAAGCTAAAATAAACTTACAATGCTTTTTTATTTCTAGAATATGGATACTAATTATTCTTATTTGTTTCAAATAGTCATTCCTATGCAATTCAGAAGTTTCTGTTTTAGGTGTATACATCTCCAGAACTAGCCCTCGTAGGCTTGGTTACTGTTCCTCCAGTAGCTGGTCTTGCTATTGTTTATGGTCGATACTTGCGTAATATAACTAAAGCTCTTCAGGACTCACTTGCAGATTCCACACAGGTAAGCTATCTTAATGTCACTTTATTACTGCTTGTTTTATAAATATAGCCAGAAAAAATAATTTAGTATGTACCAAAACTGAGATCCACATCAATCAGATATTTGGTAAGTAGCACATTTACTTTGTACATCATTAAATCTATGACAGTACCCAGTGTTTATGTTTTTCTTAAGAAAGTATAATGTATTATTTCTTTATTATTACTTTCATCAATGTTTTTAGTTGGTATGTTTAACCCTTTGACTGCAGCTCCTTTAAAAGTGCACAGAATTTTTGCAAGCCATACACTGTATACAGCACACTTGTATTCAACTGCTGGAAGCAGACTGTACTATACAGAAAATCAGCAGTCAATGAATTAATATATCTAAGTTTAATCTTATCTTTTTATATTTGTATTATTATACTTTTATTATAGAGACTGCTTTGTATTGTTAGCTTAGTATATAGATTTAGGACTAACTATATTTCCTAAGTTGGCCAAACCTTGTGAGATATTATGAGGTTTACAGCCAAAAATATCATTAACAGTGAGGGTACCTAACTGATGAAACGGTGCATTCTAATCTTTATGAATAAGAATGTAAGAAAAGTATAATTAATTAGTTTTATTTATTATCAGGTCAGTTTGTAGTTTTGCTTTAAATATGTAGCTTGCTCTCATTAGTAATTAATATTCATTATCACATTAAAATTATTCATCTCAAGAATTAAAAAAAATCTTGAAAAGTAACTGAATACATTGATATAATTGTCATTTAGTACATGTATAAGTATAGCCCTATATGTCCACCAAAAGTGATTTCAAATTTTTTCTCTATAATAACCACTTGCATGTGGCAAAACATGTCTATGGTAAAGCAAAGGTCATAAGTCATCCACCATCGTGATTTTTATAAGTTCTGCTCTTACAGCTGTTCAAATTGAGCACCATTGATATTATGACACAATTTCTTAACATGATCAATTACACACGCTCTTGGAAGCTAATGATATCCCATCCGATTATTGTAACAAAGAAAAAGAAATAATGAAACACAAACAAGACTTAAAAAAATCATAGTAAGGACAAAACTAAAAAAATATCATGGTAATATATGACTTTTGCATCACCCATAATATAATACACATGCACTTGGTAATATAATGTTTTTGTATGTAAATATCTCTGTACATAGATAAGAAAACAAAGCTTTTAGTTATGTAGCATGGAATATGAACTATAGAACTTGGCATTTCTGTGTTTATTGTAAGCAGTGATTGTTACAGTTTGAAACTAAAAATTATGTCAGACTGCCAGATTTTTTTCTAAATATGTATTTCAAATGAGAGATGTTTAAAAATAGAATTTCAGATCTATCTTGTTTTCCACAATTTACTGCCCAGAAGGCATTTTATTCAATATTGGAACTTGTCAGCTATACTGAACTAAGAGAGACAAAAGTGTATCTCATATGCTATTTATATATCAATACAAAAATTTTAAAGTTATGGATTGGAAGCTAGCAAAGAATTGGAAACCAAAAGGCTTCTTATCTGAGATACAAATCATGTTAGAAGGCAGATTGTTTTTTCTTATTGGTCTTAATTTGTCCATTATGGATTTTTTTCTGTGTGAGTTTTCAGGTGCATGCTGTGCTCTCCTTTGGATTCAACTAAATCAAGCTTTGAAATGTAAATGGATATTACAGTAAAGAATATGATGTGTACAATATACATGTGATATACTTGCATTATTTTAGACTGTCAGCAACAACTGTACATTACACAATACTTTGAAATTAGATTACAACTGTTCATATCTGAAATAAAGCTAAGAACTTTTAATTAAAATTATATTCAGGTTACACAACATTTACCTGAGTTGTTTTAGGGTAGGACTAGTAGGACATTAGATATGTGGATAGTTTCTATTCCTTCAATCTTTGAAACTTTGTACATCGTTTTTTTGAGAAGTCACCATATGTCAAAACCAAATAAAAATCAGTTTAAAATATAGCCAATTTGTAAATTAATCTTACCATTTCTAACCACCATTTGTGCAGCCTGTCTCTCACTTGTTCAGTTTCAGCCTTTTTAATGAAGTTATCAACCGTCAAAGAAGACAAAAGCAGGCATAACTGAATGCCGAGTTTGACAACATGATACAAAGAAAAATTGTTACATAACATCAATGAAATTTTTTATTAGTGGTCATCCAAAAGCCAGCAACTTTCAACAAACTATTGCCACAAATAAATAAAGTACCAACTTAACTCATTAACCAAACATGTCTGGAATAAATGAAAAATTGAAGAGGATTTATCCAAAAAAAACTACAAAGTAGGTTACAAGTCCAAAACAAATATGAAGTTTACTAGCAAAACTAAAAACTTTACAATTCACAAAAAGGAAAGAGTACTATGTTGTTTAATGTGTAGCTACAGTAAGAACTATGTTGGTGAAACAAGATTAAAATATAGAAAAAGATAAAAGTGCAGTGTTATAACTTAAGATTTGGAATTTCTGAAAAATCAACTTTACCCATCTATGCTTCGGAATGCTGGAACAAAACTTGAATCACACACTATAATATATAGAAGTTTGACAATAAAAAGGAAAATGGCATTTAAGATGAACAACATTGTATATTTATAACAGAAAGGCATGTAGATAAATGTTTCAGAAATCTACAGATTCTGTCTTAGTATCTAAAGCAAGAGATAAAGAATGGACCAGCTATAACATGAAGAGGGAGTGTGGTAACAAAGAAATTCACCTAAATGTATCTGATACACATAACTTGATTTATTTTTGAGGGAAGAGGGTGTAATTTTTATATTTATTAATCTTTAAGTACTTAATTTTATATCTGGTATGAATTGTCGTAATTTGATTTCATTGTAATGTTATTTTTTAATTTGTACAATAATGTATGTTAGTTACATTTCACTCTTCATTCAGTTGAGCCTAAAGAAGACTGCAACATAAAGTCAAAAGCTTGCAGAAAAAATAAAAAGATATTGCATATTATCATGTAAGTTGTTTTTTATTTTCAGATAGAGGATTTATTTCTTAATGTAAAATTTTAAATTTTGTTCTTAAAAATATTTTGTTGAAGAATAAAGCTCTACCAACAATTTTAAATTTTTTTTAAATTTAATAACACAGGTGGCAGAGGAATACATTTCAAACATTCGAACTGTGAGGGCTTTTGCACAAGAAGAACAGGAAAGTCATCGTTATGGGAAAAAAATTAGTGTAATTCTACAATTAACTAAAAAAGAATCTCTTGCTCGAGCCATTTTCTTTGGATCTGTAAGAAATTATTTAAACTATTTTTGCATTTGTGTGTTTCGAAGTAAGCAACATTCATCTTATGTTATATGTAATGCCTTAAATTAAAGAAAAACAATAAAATCAAAGTTTAGTCATATTTTTTGATTAATTTGAGGATCATGTTGCTTGACACTTCATATTTTTAACAGTATAATACATGTTACTAACATGTATTTATCAATGAAGAAACTTAAATTTTTTTATTGACTCAAGAATTAAAGAGTAAAAAATTGTATTGATAAGTGTTATTATTATTGAAAGTTATTTAAATGGTCGATAATAAAAGAAAAACTTGTTCCTCTGTATATGGGCCCGGCATGGCCAGGTGGTTAGGGTGCTCGACTCGCGATGTGTGGGTCGCAGGTTCGAATCTCCATCACACCAAACATGCTGGCCCTTTCAGCCGTGGGGGCATTATAATGTGACGGTAAATCCCACTATTTGTTGATAAAAGAGTAGCCCAAGAGTTGGCAGTGGATGGTGATGACTAGCTGTCTTCCCTCTAGTCTTACACTGCTAAATTAGGGACGGCTAGTGCAGATAGCCCTCATGTAGCTTTGCACAAAATTCAAAACAAACAATCCTCTGTATACAGAAGAAAAAAATTAATACAAACTTAAATTTTTAGGGTGCTTTTTTGTACATATACAAACATAATATTTTTAATTAATATTTAGTACAGTTTTATAACAATAAACATGTATGTTGAAATTACTAGAATCCAGTGTGTAGAACAACTTTTTTGTCAATGTTCTTTAAGCTAGACAGAATTTCTGCATTTGATGAATATTTTCCTCAGGCAGGTTTTTGTGGAAACCTTGTAGTTTTGACAGTTCTGTACTATGGAGGTTTAATGATGACTGAAGCTCATCTAACAGTTGGCGATTTGTCAGCTTTTCTTATGTATGCAGCATATGTAGGAATCTCCATTGGAGGTATGTTGTGAGAGCTCGTTCATAAAAAAATATTTTTATGTTGGAATTACACTGTAGTGATTGCACTTTATTCCTAAGAAATTTTAATATTTGGTGATCTCCATTGGAAATGCTAGAGTTTGCTGAGAATAAAGTATTATTTTGCAAAGGTCTTTACTGCATGGAAATACCCGTTTTGTTCAGAAGAAACTATTATTTTATGTTTGCATTATTTTGTAAAAAAATATAAGAATAGAAAATTCGTTCAATTTCATATTTAAATTTGTTGTAGTTCTCTTAAAATTGATTGAGTTATCATTTGAGTTCGGTCCTAGCAAGGCATGATAGTTAGGGCACAAAACTCACAATTTGCAGGTCGTGGATCAAACCCCATCACCTTTGAACTGTTAGAGTTGATGGTGGGTGGTGTTCACTACTTGCCTTTCCTCTTGTTTAACACTTCATAATTAGGAATGGCTAGCACAGGTAGCCCCCAAATATTTGTGTGCAAAATTCAATGAAAGAGAAAACATGTGAATGGGATATACTTTTTTTTCATACAAGACATTAGAGTCCCCAGTGAGACGAATAAAACTAAAACTATGTATTTTCTTTAATAACCAGACTTTTAAAAGCATAAACAAATTTTTTTGGTTTGCTTAAATGCAAAAATGTTCAGAAGTGAAAATAATAAATATATTGTGTACAGAGATTGTGTTGTTTATTTTAATTTAAGGTTTAAGTTCTTTCTTCTCGGAGCTAATGAGAGCACTTGGAGCATCCACAAGACTATGGGAGATAGTAGACAGAGCTCCTGCAATACCTCTTACTGGTAAACTGTATTAATTGAATGTTAGACTTAGGTTGATACATTGTGCACTTTGATAGAACTGTATATCTATTAAAATATATAATTCATGTAGCATTTTTTTTCTGAAAAAATATGCTTGAAGATAATATAATGCATATTATGAATGTAAGATAATTTTTTAAAATTACAGATTGACAAATCAATCTGTATATTTTTAAAGTTAATCAGTTAAATGTCAGATTTTATATGTATGAGCCGGATTATTTACAGTAGGTGTCTGTGACTCATTGGCAATAAATTTCAACAACAAACAAACAGTACACAGTCCACTTGTTTTAAAATAATATATTAAAACAAGTCAAACATGTATACAAATAATTGTTACACTGTTGTAATCAGAGTTCTAAATAATTGTCCATCAAAGTCCACACAGGCTAGTTCAATTTCACTATAAAATCACCACTATAAATGTTGGTTACAACAGTTGTATCGAGAGCTTTAAATAATTGTCTCTCTTCCGTCAAAGTCTATGTAGGCTGGTTCAATTACTTTAGAACACAATTTGACAAGTTGAATTATTCTTCTCTACCCTGTTATTATAATACAATCTGTGATAATTTCACTTTAAAAATTGCCACTATACATTCTTTATGGCTAAACTCACAATCACATAGTCTAGATTTATCTTTTGAACAACATTTTTGATGCATATTAACACTCCAACAGTGATCTAAAAAGTTCTACACACTACTAAATATTATGATGCAGTAATACTCATTTAAAACAACAAGAAAAACTCGGAAGTTTCTAGTAACATAATGCAATAATATAACAACCACCAATTCATAACTATTGAACTACACAATGTATGATTCATAACCATTAAGTAAAAAAAGATGTGATAATTTATTAATTCTAAAAATAACTAATTTAACACTCGAGCTATGTGCACTATTTAAATCATAACACATTAAAATTCAACTGAAACAGTTGTGTATACCTAACAATAAACCTCTCTTCAAGAAAAATATATATATAGTATTTTTTTATACTATATACAAAGACTGTTTTCAGTTCATGAACAAAGTCTATTCATCCAGTCTGCACCAACATTTGCAGTCCTTTTGATGGCATCATTGTGGAACTGGTAGTTCTGGAGTTAAAACGTCCAACTCATGATTCTAGCACTATCGATTTTGCACCTCTGGATGTATGCAAGAGGCTTATGGTTTATCTGGTTGATAAACTCCTTCCCTTACAGGTAGTTCTGGAAATTCCAGATGACAGATATGATGACCAGATACTGTCATTCAATCACAGAGTAGTTCTCACTACCCAACAGCTTTTTACTGATGTACATCCTGGGAAACACTCCTTCAACATGTTCTTACAGGAGTGCTGCTCCAATTACAATATCTGAAGCTTCGGACTGAACAATAAACAGTTTGTTGAAGTTTGGCATTCTAAGGATTGGCAAACTTCCTAACATGTTCTTCAACTTCTTTATTGTCATCTGCTGTGATTGGTCCCACTTCACGTTGTTGGGTTGGCCTTTCTTGGTCAGGTCCATCAGTGGGGCAGCAACTTCAGCATAATTTGGGATGAACTTTCTATTGTATCCCACTGGTGCATCTTGTAAGTGGGTTAACTTCTCTTCTTCCATAGCTATCTATCAGCCTCCCACCTTGTGTCCAAAAAAGTCCAGCACAGAATAGCAAATGTAGCACTTAGATGGTCTGATGAACAGACCTGCTGCCCTCACCCAAACAACTCTCTGAGTTTCTATCAGGTGGTCTTCCCATCTGGCTGTGTGGGTCAGAATGTAGTCCACATAATGCTCGATGTTGGTGGTTTTGTGCGACATTTTCCTCATTATGCAGTTGAATGTCACTGATGAGTTGACTAACCCCAACAACATACTCTTGAACTGGTAGCATTTGTCTGGTGTCACAAAGGCTGTTTTCTTGTTAAATTCTGTCTCCATTGGGATCTGACAATAACCTTTACTACAGTCAATTTTGGTAAAGAACTTGGCACCATCTAATTTTGCCATGATAGCTTCTGGGTTACTCGTAGGTTTGGAGTCGAATTCCATCCTCTAACATTACCTTGACTTCATGCTTGATCAGGTCTCTCAGAGTATAGAGCATTTGGTAGGGCTTCACCTTGACTGGATCCCTGATTGTGGTCTTGATCTTGTCTTGAACAAGGTCTGTATTCCCTGTTCTATTTATGAAGACATCTGTGTACTGGCACAGCAACTTTTGTAGGTCCACCCAGCAGTCTTATGTCGAGTAGGTCATAATCTTCTGTGACAAAGTCACCATCTTCTGGTTCCGTGTCTATGACAGCCTCACCCGCAATGTCCATTTGTGCCTCAATACCTGCACCATTTAGGTCTTGTTCTCTTTCAAAGTATATCTTCAACAGATGTTAGATCTTGGTCATCCCTTCCACTTTCACTTTATAGTCCATTCTGTTGACCACTTCCTGCACTTCAAAAGGTACTCTTCACTGCAGGGTGAATTTTTTGTTGTCTGTGGGTAGCAGCACCAACATCTTCTGTTTGACCTTGAAATGTTTATCCTTGTCCTTCTTATCATAGAATTGCTTCTAACTGCCTTGAGCTGCACACGGACTTTCTTGTGCAAGTTGACAGGTCTCCTCCAGTCAGTTTCTGAGGTCTAACACGTAATGTATTGTGTTCCTCACTTCTGACATTTTTTCTCCTGTCTATGGTTATTTCGATGTCTGCATCAGACTTTTTACTCTTTTTTTCTGTACAGTAACTCGAGGGTGAAATCTTGTACTCCCTTGTGGAATTTCTCGGTAAACAAATAATACTGCATACAGGTACCTGTCCCCAGTCATGTGGTCTCTCCTGGCACATATACTTCAGCATGCTCTTTAAGACTCCATTAACTCTGTCACAAAGTCCATTGCATCTGGAGTTGTATGGAGTGGTAAAGAGCTGCCTAGTGCTGATGTGTCTGCACACCTCTTGCATCAATTCTGAGGTAAACTGGGTCCCTCTGTCACTCAAAACTTCTTTTGGAAAACCTACTCTGCAGAATACTTCCAGGAGGGCTTCTGCTACTCTCTCCATCTTTAACTTTGGCAGTACTGTGGCTTCTGGGTAACATGTTACATAGTTGACTACTGTCAGCATGTACTGATTACCCTTCTTGGATCAAATCAACAGCTACTCTGCTGAATGACTCTTCTGTGAGAGGCGTCTTACTCAGTGGTATTTTGGCTACCTTCCCTCCAGGTACTGTCCTTTGGGAGATGTCACAACCTGCACAATCTAGTCAACTATCCTATGACTCCTGGCCAATGGAAGTTGCTGATGATTCTGTCTGCCATCTTCTTTGCTCCTAGATGTCCTTCCACAATCAACTTGTGAGCCAGCTTCATCACTTGAGTCTGGTATTCAGTTGGTACTATAATCTTTTTAACTTCCTCAGTAGAAGTGCATCGATAGATCTAGTCCAGTCTTCTGTTCTGAAAGTCCTTTTCCTCTTTATCTTTCTCCTGGGCACTATTTCAAAGTTTCTGTAGTGAAGGGTCTTTCTCTGTGCTTCCTTCAGTTCCTGCAAACCTACATTCAGGATGTCACTTTTCAAGACTTGCAAGGGCTTGATGTCTCACTTGCTATTATTTTCTTGATCTCTTGTGGTGACTGCAGATCCCTGTCAGTCTTGTTTCTGTGTGATTCCTCCAAACTTCTATTGTCTGGTATATTGCCAATAACCAAGTCGTAGATGGGTACCTTCATACATATGGCCTTAAGGTTTCCCCGTGTAGTATGGAGTGTTCACCTTTATTCTTGCTGTAGGAAACTTTCTCACTGTCCCATCAATCAGCACAAACAACGAACCTTGCCCATGATCTGGTCTTCAGATACTAGACTGGTTCTCACTGCTGCATCCATTGTCTCATAGGACTTTCACTTACTTGTCCTCAACAAAGCTTTCACCTACTGGCATGTTGTAGTTTGTTGTCACCTTTCAATGTTTGTCACATTTGCCGATCAAAACTGGCACTGTTAACCTACTTGCTAATATGAGCTGATAATCAATGATGCACTGTTTAATCATGGTTATATCACTTTCTTCTTGTGGTGAATCTGATTAGTTGTCTCTATTCTGTTTCTTCTGGCAGCAGCAGCACTCTTTTCTTGTTTCTTGCTAGCACCATCTTTGTAGATAGCTCCAGCTGCTTTATGTTGAGATTTCTGCAGTCACATGTTGGTGACAGACTTGCACTCACTCGAAATGCACCTCATTTTATGACAAGCATAGCATCTCTTCTCTCTTTTGTCTGTTGACCTCTTGTCACCTTTGGTGGCATCCTGCTTCTGGTTAGCCACCCCTTATTTCGACTTGGACTAGTTATTCTTGGACTCGCAAGTTATACTCCATCCATGGGCTTCCATATACTGTTCTGCCAGCTTCATCATCTTGTCCACATCTTTTGGTGCTCTCTCTTTTAGGAACAGTGAACATGTCAGTGGAGCACATGTTCATAAACTGTTCTCACATTAGTAGATCTGCCAGTCTTTCAAACTATCTTCATGCTTGGCCATGTCAGTTCACCTTATGAAGTATCACCTTAGATGTGCCACAAACTTAAATACAGTTTCTCCAGTGTCAGGTTTGACTTCTCTGAACTTCCAGCAAAAACCTTCCTCAGTAAGTTCATAGCGTTTCAGCAAGGCCACTTTTAATTTGTCATAGTCCATGGCATATTCTGATGTCAGGCTCAAATACACTTGTCAGCCTTTTCCTGTGAGAAGGAGGCTGAGACAAACTACCCAGTAACCTTTGTTCCGGTTCTGACTTTGGGAGAATCTTTCATACCTCACCAGGAAAGCATCCATGTCGTCTTTCTGTTCATCAAATTTGGGCAACTTGGGTTGGCTGGCACTGACCCCATTGTCATTCTTTGGTCCTCTGTCTTACTGTTAGATGAGCTTGAATATCTCAGTTTGTGCTCTCATTCTTTCTATTTCCAGTCTCTATTTTTCTTCTTTCTCAATTTGTGTTCTTATTCTCTCTGTTTCCAGTCTTTCCTCTGTCTCTCTTTCTTCTTTCTATTTCTTTCTCTATTCTGTTGATGCTCTTCTCTCTCTAGGACTTGTTGTTGTTTAAAAAACTCTCTTAGATTGCCATCTTTGAGCCCAAGTTGCTCACTCCTCTTTATCTACTTATCAAAGTCAGTCAAAATGGTTATATAGTGTGGTTGTGACTTCTACAGTATTTTTGCTACCACTACAGCTAAGTGTATGTAGGCCTATTTGCCAGTTTTGTATGTCTACTTCTACTGCCAATATAGCAATCACCAATTCATAACTTTTGAACTAAACAACATAGGATTCATAAACAGTTATGTAAACAAACTTGTGATAAACTATCGATTCTAAAAATAACTTAATTTGACACTCACTTTATATAACCTACCTAAATCGTAACTCTCCCATTAGAATTAGATGTAAACAATCATGTATACCTAACGTTAAAATCCTTAGGTTTTAATGTTTATCTTTTTCCTCTTTCAATACAAGGTGGACTTAAACCAACTGCTTTTAAAGGTGATATTGAGTTCCACGATCTTACATTTTGCTATCCGAACCGACCAAATGTGGTCATTTTTGACAAGCTTAACCTCAGCATACCAGCAGGATCAGTGTTGGCTGTTGTAGGAAGAAGTGGATCAGGAAAGTCCACTGTAGCAGCAATGGTACTGAGGTTTTATGATCCCACCTCAGGTACAAAGGTTTAACTGTAATTATGTGTAATGACTAGAATATGTGTTTACTATTAGCATTACTTGGTTTATCTGTTCTAGGATTCTAGTTTGTAGCTATAAGTTAGGAAATCAGAAAGACATTTTGTAAACATATTTAATTCAAAACCAGAGAGTACATTATATTTAGGTAAAAGCATTGAAGTATTCTATTGCTGGTAGTTGTTTTAGCACATTTTGAGTTAATTTACTATAACCTCAATTTGTTATAATGAAGATAATATATTAATATAGAAGAGATTTTTTCATATATATATTTTAACTAGTAAGGTAACAGAAGTGACCCTGAAATGACCTGTCGAATCTAAACCTAATAGTTTTTCAGGACAAATGTAGTGTTCTTTCAAGCTAGAAAGTTTTTTACAAAAATGATAATTACAAAGTTAAACATAGAAGTGTGTAACATTTTCAGACAGAAAACAAGATTAGGATATCATACTGCATTAAGAATACCCAAGCATCTTTATCAGTCCATAAACACTAAAAAAAAAGAGGAAAAGAAATGTATGAGAGTGTATATACTTATGATAAACAGGTGTATAAATGATGTAAAAATGAAAGAGAGAACTTAACAAATTGGAAATAGAAAAAAGAGATTTATGTTTTAGGGACAGATGCAACTGAAAATCTTAAGCCTACAGATAAGGATGTAGACAGCAGGACATGTTTGGATTTTTGGGGAGGGTGTACTGATGATTGTGACCAGAGCTGGATGATTAGTGGTGTCAATTAATTTATGGGCTCATTAACCAATTAGTGCATGCCACTGACACACACACACACACACACCTGTGCATGCAAGACAAAACTTGCTACTTTATTCATCTTTCAACCACTGCATTACTCTGACACAGTATCAACATTGTTTGAATCACTTATCAACATTGTTTTGTTTTAAGTATTGTTTATATTACCCTTGGTTTCTTAAGATAAACCTCTCTTGTACTAAAAAAAAAAGAATCTAACATAATTCTTTTCAAAGATAATCTGGACATTTTTTACTTGGCAAAAGTATTAAATTAATTGCTAATGTTGACTAAATATCACCACACAATTGCCATTATGTATGTTTCTAAAATATGTAGTAAACCCACACTTATCTTCTGAAAGTAAAATAAATTGATGATTAAATAATGAAACATGTTTTACTATCGCTTATAAGGATAATAATGTTTATAATTAACAACATATTACGATTACAATTAGAAATAACGTAGTAGCCAGTCAAATAATTTATTTGAGTTGTTTTAATAGGATAAACATAAAAGTAATATTCAATAAAGATTTGAGTTACCAGAATATTTTGCAGCCACTTACTATACTCACTACACAGTAAACTTGTCTAATTTGATGATTGTTTTATCTGGTGAACATAAAAAAATGTATGCTAGATCAAGACACGGTAGTGTGTTGTGCAGTCAAAACAACCTGCAGGACACACTATGTGTTATTAACAGGAGTGTTAATTTAGCAGTTTTCCACTTTCTTTAGCTCGGACTGTGGTAATCCAAACTGTCATATATTTTAAGTGGATGTGCTCTACTGGACACTTACTTCACATACCAAATTTCAAGGCAATCCATTAAGAAATACACGAGATATAAAATCTCCAATATTCATCAAATTTCTTCTCTTTCTTTCTTTTAGCACCGAAAGTATAGAAATTTATGGGATAGAAAATCATACTTAACTTTAATGTTCTTTTTTTCAAATTTGCTATACTGATAGAAGTATAATTAGGTGTTAAATTTGGTTTAAATATAAGCCATTTGTGCAAAGTTATTCAACAAAAACTGCTCAATTTTTAGCAAAATTTCTGTGCATGCATACACAAAAAGTCACGTCTAAAATTTGTACAACAGCTTCACCTAAGACAGGGGTCAGCAACCTGTGGCTTGCAAGCCAAATGCGACTCTTTAAGGAGATTTATGTATCTCTCGGGCTATCTGCTGTATCCACCAAGGGGAAACGAAACTCCTGATTTTAACATTGTAAATCCAAATACTTACAGTTGTCCCACCAGTGAACTTTTATTTTTTTTTAGGTAAGACTGTCACTGCATATTGTGGCTTTCAATGTTCTGCTCTTAGACAAAAACAAAAAAATGGCTCTTCCACTTTGAAGGATTTCCGACCCCTGACTTAAGAGTAAAAATGGACCTTTCTTTTTTTGTCAATCGGAATAAAGACGACTGACTTAGAGCAGCAAAACTATAGGCTAAAAGGATGTGCAGATACACAAGTATTGGTTAGGCCAAACAAACTAGATTAGCTGTTTCTAGCTCAAGTTTTGAAAAGAATTATACGGGTGGATGGTTATAATTCATTGCCAACTTTTAAGCACAGATTTGCTAAATTTTATGAAATTTTCCTAATTAAAGAGTGTTTAGTGTGATGTGATATTAGTGCAATTATCCTAAATAATGATGCTTGATATGGCTGTAATGAGTGCATGCAGGTGATGGAAAAAAAACTGTTAATCTAAATTCCATGGCATTACCATAAAGGAAGTTATTAACACTGTTTTAGAGAGAAAAAACTACCACCATATATTTTGAAAAATCGGGTACAGATCCGTTCTGGATAATAGGGTTGTAATCTTAAAGCTAATGGGGTTACCATTGAGTGTTACTTTTTTACTTGCTGTGGTTTGTTGTTGTGTATTTACAAAAAATTATGATATTTAAAACACCTTAGGTGTGAAAGAAATGAGTGCAGACCCATTGGTAGTAATACACATACAGAGGGGCACATATAATATTTGAGGGGGCACCAATTTCAATTGTTTCCAAAAAAGCTATGAAAATCGCGAGCAAGTGTAGTGAGCGAAGCCCCTCCAGCTAGATTTTGTGTCCTCATACAGATAACCAGAGCATCTCAAGAGTACTAAAATTAGTATACTGTGAAAATTAAATTTAGCTCAAACTCAGAATAAGTTATAAAATAAAGCACTCTTAAAATTATTCTAACATCTCTTCAAAAACCAAACCTCCAATTGACGACAATAATAAGAGAACTAGAAACTGCTCTGTGAAAGAAACTACCCTCTTTATTTATATGTATAATATGTAGTTACCTTAGTCTTAGTACAGTTGAATTCTTCAGTTACATTTTGCAAGTGCTTGCACCACTTCGTTAAAGTCCACAGATCTTCTATAGTTATGCAAAAAAGGCTAAAAGCACCAAACAACTTTTTTGATGGTGTGTCACTGAATGCCTCTAGGGTGTTAGGATTCATGTCAGTGTAGAAGATGATGCTTCAGAAATCACAGTGCTGGCACCGAATGTGACTGATGCAGCATACATTTGAAAAACATAAGAAAATCCACTGCATAATGGATACAACAAGGTATGCCTTTGTGGATGGCTGAGTCGATTTCTTTCTGGTTAAAATTATTTGCTACAGCACACTGTTGCAAATAATGACAATGCTGTATCTAACCCAATTAGCTCAGCTAGCTTTAGAATATATGAGACATCAAGGAAAGCCACAATTTCGACATTTTGTTGCTGTCTTTTTGTAGTTGTGTAAGAGAATCCAATTTGCTGTTGATTAACCGAATGGCTGCCATTATATCACAGTCACGAAACAGCAAAAGTTTGTCAACAGACTGTAGGATGTTCAGCACTTTCTGTATGCAGTATGTGAGAAATATGAATTTTTTACTGCACAGCTGTTTTAGTAAGCCAGCAGCTTCAACGCAAACCTCAGCATCGCACCTGGACATCAACAAGGCTATCATGATTTTCAAGAATGGCTGATGTCATTGCTAGGTGACCTGACCAATGTTGATATAGAAGCCGCTTCAACTCTGTGCCATCATATAATTGGTCAAGCTTTGCACAATGGACAAATTTGTATAGAGCATTACATGTGCCAAAAAATTTCTTCACTTCTTAGTTCTCTCCAATGGCATGCACAACAACCAAGTGCAATTGGTGGTTGAAGCAATGCACATAAGGAATGTTTCTCCCTAACCATTCTTGAACTTTTTTTCTGAACACCTCCCTATTTATCTGACATCACTGATGCACCATCATAACACAGAGAGAGTATATTATTGGCATCCATTTCACATTCTTCAAGACCTTGAAGAATCGAAGTGGTTAAGGAGTCTGTATCCAGTTATTCCGATGTAGTCATAGCCACCAGTGTCTCGTGCACTTTTCCATCCTTCGTAAAATGCACAGCAGTTGAGATGTTCTCAGTATTGTTGGGTCATGTGTTCTGTCTTATAATGTAATATATCAGGGAATGTTGGTAGCTTTAATATCAGAAATAGCCTTGTCAAGCACAACATTCTTCATGAGATCAATTGATCATGCAACTTAAAGGAATGAAATCAAAATTGGCGGCCAAACTACTAGCTACACTTGTAGCATTGATAAGAATTTTACAGCATATATTCATTCATTAGTTAGCTAGGCTGTGTATTTTATTTTACCCACCATCATGCCCCAAGTTGAATATTTTTGTACTGTGCTGAGACAAGCATAACTGATAGTGAAATGGACAACTGTGAAAATAGTTGTCATAGAAACATGTTGAGGTGTTACTTAATTGTTATGTTATTCTGTCTCATGCATGTCTCTGGCAGGACACATTTCTGTACTAGGTATCATTTCATTTATCAACACTGCCACTTTGAAATGTTTAATGACCAATGCCCACTCCGAAATATTTAATGGACATTTGCAGTTAATTTGAATTAATTGATTATTATTTTGACATTAATTGATTAACCACAATTTTTTTTAATCGGTTAGTTTATGAGACACTAATCAATTTAATTTCTACCCATATGTAATTGATTATGTCAATTAATTTGGATAAAGATAAACTGATGTGACGTTGTGAACAGTTTTTTTAAACTTGAAAATGGGAAATTGGTATATAACATAATATGATCTACTGTGTTGAGGAACCAGAAACAGTCCTAAACACTGTATACACCCCAATAAGATTATAAAGTAAGATTTGTGTTTAGAAGTTAAAAGCAAATTTATTGAGTGAAACTATTAGTTGTGAGTGTTATCATACGATCTGTACTTGATCCGACCAAAATGGGTAAAAGCAAAGTTTTCCAAAGTACAGGTAAGTTTATTATGTGCTTTGACCTGACCCTTCAATATTTTATTAGTCAAAACAAGGATGCTGTGTCAGAGATCTGGTGAAGGAAAGAATTATTGGAAAATTAATGTGTACTATAATTCCAGGTTTACTATGCATATCTTCATGAAATCTGACAAGCTTCTAGTAAATATAGAATGTTTGTTGTATGCAAAAAGTCAGATTTTTTAATAAAATATTTCAACTAAAGATTTGTCTGTAAATTTATGAAGTCAGATTGACTCAGATGCTGACTAGTTTGCATGCAAGGTGATTTTAAGATTAAAATATTATGATTAATGTTAAGATTAAATACACTTTTTTTTCCCTTGTAAAGTTTACATATTTCAATTACAAAACCTCCTAAATATAATTAAGCTATAAATGGTTTAAAATAATTCCTATGGCAGGTTGTAGTGACTTGCCAATAGTGAAGACTAAAACTGTAGACTGAATGATTCAAAAACCTATCATCAGAATTAGCTAACCTTATAAGGAATTCAGTAAATTAAAATTTTCTCTTTCTTTTGGTTATAAATAATCTAGTCACAAATTTCAGAAAGAATTATTGACATTTTTGAAAGATAGGATGTGATAGGAGGGTGTAGCATGTGGGTTTAACTTTATTGTTATATAATTCAGTAAAGCAAGAAGATTGGAGGCTACAATAAATTTAGATAATGCCTTAGCAAAATCTATACTATAATTGTGTACTTTTTATTAAAATTCAGAAACTGAAACAGGGATGTAAAGAATATATGAAATGAGCAATTTGGAGCAAAGAAGTAACATGTGATACAGAGAAATGAAGATAGCAGATTTATTTAAATATTTCTCTTTGAAAGTAAGAAATTAATACTTATATAAAAATTTGAATAATAAACCACAATTTGATACCAAGTTATTTAACTGAATTTTGAATGTAACATTAAAAAGATTGTGACATATGCACTTGGACATTTATCCGTGCACATAGGATTAAAGATAAGGCTAAGAAATGTTATTAGATGTATTAGCGAAGAACTTGGATTCTAACTACTGCAGTAAAAGCACGGCAGGAAGTACTTGTATATCTGTGTTATTTGGAAACTGGGAAATATTTTTGGTGTAAAGCAAGGACATTTGTTATTACTATTAGGTATGTATAGTGGTAGACTGAGGACGAAGTCTTGTATTATGCCTTCTTGAATGAGTAAAGGATCAGAATTGTATGCATTTATACAACCTTTATCCAACTTTGTCAAAAAACAACAACATAAGTTCAAGGCAATGTACTAGTATTAAAAACTATTAAATTTAAAGCTATCATACCAGACAGTATCAAGTTTTCTGAACAAAAAAAAAAAAAGAAAGTAACCATGATATAACTAAAGTTAAAAGAAAATTGAGATATATTCTACTTTAAATTTTTGAAAGGTTTTTTTTAGAAGTTTTTTTTGTTGTGCTAAAAATTGTGCTTTTGTGATACATAAACCCATTTAACAGTGAAATTTCCATCTACCAGTAGTTAGCCATACAGTTCCATAGTTAAGGTTATTTGAAAAGTTTTTTTGATCATCAATTTAAATTCACAATCCTATTTACTTCAGGTACAGTGACACTAGATGGCATAGATATCAGAACTTTGAGCCCTGAGTGGCTAAGAAGGCATGTGGCATTTGTTAATCAAGAACCTGTATTGTTTTCAACATCCATTAAGGAAAATATTATATATGGTTGCTTCAATCAGTCTGGTAAAGAAATATGTGATGATCTAGTCATTGAAGCTGCAGAACAAGCCAATGCTTGGAACTTTATCCAGCAGTTTCCTGAAAAACTGAACACACTTGTTGGGGAGAGAGGTGTCATGCTTTCAGGTAATCACCAATGGTTATTGATTTTTAAGAAATATTGTGTTGTTCAGAAAATTGTAAGAAGAATTTATCATAAATTTAAAACAAAGTTTGAAAAATTAACTCACAAACATGGAATGATTTTAAGAAATTAATGTAAAACTCAAAATATTGATAAAAATATTTATTAAAGTAAAGAGTGTTTTTAAGGAATTTGAGAAATGATTAGATTCAGTATTCTTTTCAAGATTTCAGTGTTTTTGTACTTGAGTTCAGAAAGTAAAATTTCTTTAGATTGTAGATGTTTATCATTTGAAGTTCAAGAAAGGCTAAATAAAACTTAAGTGTATTTGATAAATCAATTATGAAACATGATGTTCTGTTAGCGACTATGGTATGTTACATTTTTGGTTTTAGGTGGACAAAAGCAGCGGATAGCCATAGCACGTGCCTTGATAAAGGTGAGTAGTTTGTTTCTCACTTCTATGATGAATAAAAACATTATATTTTATTGCAACTTCTGAACTGCATAGGACGGGCTTTCTTTTTTTTAGCTAAAATGTCCACGTAAATATAACTTAAAATGAGTAATAATTTAAATTGTTATTTTAAAATGTAAGTTATTACTGCTACTGTAGTTGAAGATAAGCAGCAACATGATAAATAGATATTATGTTACAGCATTAATATAATAAATGATTTATTTGGTAAGGATAAAATATCTGTTACAAAAGTAAAAATGTTTACATAAATGCTGAAGGACACACTTCAAACAATGTGTTCTTGTTCACATTATAACTTAATTGAAAGTAATAAATTTTAAAGCATTGGTATTTTTAGAGTTCTCATTTTGCTAGAGATCAAATCTGGTGTTGACAACATTCACATCACATAAGTTTTTTTTTAATTTGTACAGAAGCATTCATTCATCTATTTCTTTTAGTGTGCATTAGCTGCTTAATTTAAGTTCCGGTACCCATATGTTTATTTAGTTGCAATGGATTTTTGCATTTCCATTATTCAGGTGTCAAAAGAAATAACTAATTTTCCTCGGTAAATGATTATTGCCAGGTATTGGTTAATTTTATTTTGCAATGCAGAAATCACCTAAAAATTACATGTTTATAGAACTAGTAGATGTACACTATACATGAATTTTTTTTTTCTGTTTACTATGAATTCCTGTCTTAAGTTAATCTAATAATGTTAGAATTAATACTTTTGTTTTTATTTTTTTTAATAAGATTTACTTAAATGTCAGTACACAACATGGTAAGATCTTAGCCATTTGATTATCCTGTCAAATCTGGAAATGTTATAGCTCAAAAGGCTGAACTAAATGTCAAAACATTAGGTAAAGTTTTCCATAGAAATCTAATCAAGACTCCAACAACTGACTTTGTTTATAGATTTAACTTGCTAGTATATGATTTTATCTTCCAAAGGGAAACTTGTGGTTAAGAAATAGTGGAATGATAATCAGTATCCTTTAGCTTAACTGGTGGTTCACACAGCTTAAGACATGTTACGTTGTCTAAACAGTGGAATTATCAAGCATCAAAAAATTTGGCTAGTGAAATTTAGTGTCAGACATTTGGTACATATACAGATAATCTCTATAGTTTATGAAAAAGTACAAATAAGATTACATTTTAATGCTTATGAAATTGTGGGAATATACAATACAGATATTTTGAAGTTAAATTAATATTTAGTTGAGATTGAGTACCTAAATTCATCTACAGTAGTCCATGTTTCCTTTTTTTCTAGGATCCAAAAATTTTGCTCTTGGATGAAGCTACAAGGTAAAAATGGAAAAAATTTGGTAGGGTTTTCATAGTTATTAAGAAAGTTGTTGCATAAAATTTCATAAACATAGTTCATACTTTTTCAAAGCATCATTTATGGTATTTCAATGCTGAATAAGGTCTGTTTTATCCTTTATACATATTGTTATTGATGGTTTTGTTGGAAAACTATATAAGAATTTTTAAGTATTTTTCTGTCAAATCTACATAAAGATTATAATTTCAACAAATATATATATATACCGTTACGTATTACAACTTCAAATGGTCTGAAACC